AACTTATTGACTTGGGCATAGCAATCGAAGAATTGTAGTCCCATAGCATAGTGTGGGGGTCTCTGACATAAGAATGCACAGGAGTGCTTCATCCGTCTGAAATGTTCGTCAGCCGAGTGAGGGACTAGGATTCACGATTCGTCATCATATGGGTGTGAACGTCGAAATTTTTTTCGCAGTTTGATTACTGTTGGTAACTGGTTTGGGGTCTAGTATTTGTGTTTAATGATACCAAAATCCTGTCAAGATATCACTCACAGTTTCCTAACCAGGTGAAAGAGTTTCGGATGGCTTCAAAGGTATTGGTGGTGGTCCTTCTCGGTTGCTATACAGTCGTACGTTTGGCTGATTGTGATTGTATTTTGACAACTCACCCTTCCCAGCTAGAGTCGCAACTGGGTGGTCTGAGCTGTTTAGTAAGTAATACAAGACCACGCTCCACTAGCTGCTTGTGAAGAAGAGTCTCAGAGGTGGATCGGTGACAAGCGGGGCAATATCATGTGGTCTGGTCGGTACAGAGATAGGACCCAGCGGACTGCGGACCGCCAGTTTCCGCGAGCTCCCACCCGCTCGTACGTTGCGCTTGGGACCTCAAGACTAACATGGTGGCTCCCAAAAAGGTAATACTTGATCTGCCAACCTGGCCTTTATCCTCAATGTGATACGAAGTTTTTCTGTTGGTTGATACTCTCTTATGAAAAGACTGCCGCAGTTATGAAGATCTCAACGCAGCGCCATGTTCAGACTGAATGAGGGAAGGGAGCTAAAAACTCGAACGGGAACAAGCAATTACTGTGGAAAGAGACATGCAAAAAGCGCAGAGGGAAGGCGAAAAATCTGGTGAATTTCAGTCAATGGACATTTCGCTACTAGCGGTGCCCAATAGTTGATGGTGATTGAAGGAATATGCCCGAGCTCATGTCACGAGGGGGGAAATTACATCGTTTACTGGTAAACAAACTTCGTTTGCAGAGCGGGAGATGCGGAAGGAGTAATGAGTATGCATTCTAGCAGCTCGGTTTTGTACCCCAAAATCTCTTGGCCGCATAAATTTACGTAAGGACTGAAGTCTTTGGGGATCCCGTTTTTATGACCCATGAGACGTTCGTATGTTTGTATACCTCTGACGGCTTGGGCTTGACTTACCACCATTCTCTTTGTGTTTTGTTATTGGTTTTTGTAGGCTTCTGCTGTCTAGGATGGCTTAGCTGGCATAGTTTTCCGCTCCGATAAATTTTGTTTGATGTCTTTCTCAAGGAATATCTAATCAAGTAAATTCAGACTTCCCGTCCCCCCTGAAGTGTCTGGACCTTATGGTGTGACGGTTTGCGTGTGTCGGTAAATCCCTAGGCTGAATAGGTGGATGCTCGAGCAGCATCCACGGAGTCTCTCGCCGGGTTTTTTAGTAGGTAGATTTCTGACAAATACAGTTCCTTCTATCTCCAAATTGGGGTTTAGGAAAGCTGGTAATTAGTTTCCGAAAATATCGGCTCTTCGAGCAGTCTAATGCCAACCACCACTGCCTCGCCACCAGACTTTTGAGCCAAGAACTTTGGCTCAGGACCCTAATTGTCCTTCAGTCTATTTTTGGGCTCCCTGGAAATATCTCAGCCATTTACAACCGTGAATTTTACGGATAAAGTACGTTCACGCCACATCAGCTGTCGCGTTCTGATATCGGCCGAGTCGCCTTAATCTCTGCATGCAGCAGGGTTGATAAGCGAAGACAGGAGACTGCTGACACTTCTAATCGTTGCTATTAAGGAGAATGTTGGTAGCTCACTTGGGGCTGTTGGTTGTTGGTTTGATCTCTGAGTTGGGCCATTCGATCGAAAACTTTTCATCACCAGTTGAGTTGACATAATTGATGCGTTGTTAGGGAGCGTAGTGGAGTGCAGTAATGAGTCGATGTTTGTGTACAAGCTTACACACAACTGGACCTAGCGGTGTGCATGCTACCGGGCCCCCTAGCTAAATTTCGTCTGTTGTTGGACACTGTTTATGTCGGGTAATGCTCTGATGGTGCCTTACTTCGGCATGATGCCTAGGTGTGTTTATTTCCTCGCTTTTAAAAAATTTAGGCACCTTATTCTTTATCTCATTCTTTAAGGACGTAAGACTTCGCTGTAATTCTTTTCCCTTCCATTTTGTTTTCACTTTTTAATAGGACTTTCTTGCAATATACTCGTATGCTTAAGCACCTTCGTGTGTTACTGGTTTATTGCTGTCAGTGGTGATAGTGATGATGACGATGAGGCTTCTGGGCTGGTGACAATCAGCCTGAAATTAGATGAAGTTTAGAATGATGTTGGAAATTCACAACGAGCGATTATATGACCTCAGAGTGAAAATGGATGTTTGGAACTCCAGACTTCGGATGGTCGGTTCCGCGCAGATATGAAAGCACAGGTTGGCCGAATGGAGCTGGAAAACAGTTAGGCTGATTGCGTGCTGATCACCTTTTGCCTAATCTTAGCTAGGGGACGTTGCGCCTGTACGGAGGCAGAAGGACATCACTGAAATTCTACTAAATCCCCCGTTCACACCAACCGCTATACACATGACCGATTTTGCCCTGATGGCTGAGTACCTCACGAACGCGTTGTCACGTCCGAATGTGTTTCTCACTAAAGGAAGTAGTACACAAAGCCTCATACTGCTCACGCATTAAGCGGTGTCTTGATGCCATAACCTCTTCGCCCCGAGCGAACATACGCATCAAAGGCAATTTGAGTTTTTCTCAACGGAACCAGTCACATGCCACATTCAGCTCACATATCCAGCGACCGCTGGTCGGAGAGCCATTTGCTTCCGTTTTGAGTTGAGGGCTGACGAGTGTACTTTTCCTTAAACGATGAAAACGAGTCACACACATTTGACATACTCAGCCGATCGCTTGTCTGAGAACTAAGCATCTTCTGAAGCATATCATAAAGAAGTCATTAACATCACTGTAATTTGCAAACGAGTGTCTTTAGGCCTTTAACCACCTATCCCTTTTAACGCACAGGGCGGTCTGTTCTGACAGGTAAACACCGCTGATTGTGCATACTGCAGTAGCCAAACGATGAAAATGTCTGCAGCCCCCTTGAATAGAAGGGCAGCGTAACACTGCGTCCATTCAACATGTATGCAGGCCTTTGCTGTCCGTTCGCTACTGAATGAACTTATACCCGTCAGTAAAACAGCCACAGTGAGCCTACTCAGCCAGTCCCGTCTGTGAAGTCATCGTCATTGATAGGATAAAAACAATGTTCAGCGCTGATGCTTTGTTGCCGTGTTTTTTTAGGTTACCGTGCATGATGAAAGATCCGCACTTTGAGCAAGCTTCCGCCTCGTTCTGTTGGTTCTTCACAGATTTTCCTGGACAGTTGTTTATGAAACGACTTTCCACCTAATGGTGATACTAATGAAGTGGAGTTTCACCTGCAGTGCCGTATTTACGCGCTAATTTGTCAGCTCCCGCCTCCAATGCACAGCTACCTACCCCACTCCCCGTATCATCAGTGAATGAAACTAGCAGCTACAACCACTGTACGACAAGTATGTGGTTATCACAGCTGACAATGATGGTGATATGATTCGGTGGATGATCCTTGTTGGGCATCTCTTTTTGTGTCATGAGCGTGTTTTGCCTACCGATGAGTATTTTGTGGTGAAGTTCCCGTAGTGCAGGATGGAAACATGAAAATTCAGTGAATCTGAGTTCAGAGCAATCCGATATTTAAATAGACGTGTAGGACTGCTAGTGCGATCAGTGTACTTCGGGGAAACAGAAAAGCGAGCATAGCAAACTACTGGCAGCTGGGCGTGAACGTTACACAGCGAACGAAGCGAGGCTTTCCCAAGTTGTCATCCTGTTATCCTCTAAATATCGCTGAAATAAACAGTTTTCTCGTATGGAGCGAAAGTAGGTAGGTAGTGATATACCATAGTGGGCGGAGCAGGAAGCCAAGGGACCGATACAGAGTTGCGCAACCGTTCAGCAAGACACAACAGGTAGCCACCTTGGGAAATTCTCAACTATTCTTCTGAATGCTCTTTCAAAACGACTTCTTTTGCTGAAAAGGCTAATAAAACGGTGACGAGTATGCAGAAGAAACGCCGGCAGCCTTGTTAGGTCTTACGGGATATTATATCAGAGCAAATAACGTGGATCCAGAAGCATGAATCTCGGGCTGCTTAAAATGAATTACCCAAGGCTTGGGGTCGATAGAAAACCTTGCACAGTTGTGCATCTCATTCTTGTGACATTTTCAGATATTATAATCCGGCGTCTGTAGCATCCGGTACATTGTCATTCCTACAGATATTACGTGTCTGCTTGATTTAAGTGCGTGATTTAAAACATGGAAGGCGCATGTTTATTACTTTGAAGAGTGGAAGATTATAAACTTGACGATTTAGGCAGACACTAGCAGCCGGCGAATGGCGGGATTATTCATCAAACTGGCCGCCAATCTTATCTGGGTCGACAGGAAGTTGGAACCACGGCTAATCCACTACGCGATTTGATCAGTGGAAGGGATTTGCATAGACTGTGATAGCCACTAATCTGCATTCACGCTTTAGCAATTAATCGGAATGTCACTATATCACTAATACTCAATCAGTGGAATTCTGTCACATCTAGCTTTTCAGTTTCAGACATTTTGGAATTCTGTGTAGCCATCTAGTGGATAGATGTTGGATTGGAAAGACGCACACATTACAGGTGGGAAGTTCTTAAATAAATACAGTTTGTATAGCCACGAAACTGGCATCTGTGGACTGGACCCTGATTCGAACTACTGACAAGGAAAATTCTATTAACTGGTGTACAACGGGTCTCGGTATCGTGTTTAACGTTCACTAGCGATGACGTTTTCTAAGTATTCTTCACATTTTCTGACGATCATCCGTTTTAAACTGCTGAATTTGTTTAATGCTTTCAAAGCCCTACTAGCCCTATCGTTTCAGGGGTATGCAATTAGTTAAGTCTGGTTTGCTGTGTACGTAATGCTCTCCTCTTTTTACAGCTCTGTCAGCCTGGGAATTCTATCACACTTCGTCCTTGAGTGGTCGTTGGTTTCTTGCGATGGTGCTGCTCCTCTCCATTGATTTCGACCTCTAGAATTTCGTCTGGAAAACAGTATGTCGCCCTCTTTTACTACGCTCTCCTCAAGACGAACATCATCTAATGCTAGGTAGTCGTCATCATCATCATCGACAGCATGACAGGTAGTCGTGCGATTCACCGTCTCATCGCTTCCCGGCATTTTGCATATAGTCCTCCTAAGTACCGTTTGTGCATCACCTTAGATTCCAGCAAGGACGTGGAGGATTCTTATAGGATGATTGCACTCTTTTTTCCACCATTCCGTGTAGCTCGAGATTGAACAGTGGTCTATCGATCTTTGTAATCTCAAGCTTCCTTCTACTGGTTCTAGGTTTCCACCAAGCTCGAAAAAAGGTTGAATTGCCCATGGTCGCAATAATAGGTTTTACTACTTCGTTTAGATGTTCCACCTTGAAATTCCAGGAAGCCATTTGGCATTTTGCCTCCTAGTTATGTAAATATCAACTGTGGTGGCAGGGGTTTAATCCAAGCCCATTATCAGCCGGATAAAATTTGGCCTACTCTCAAAAAGGGGTTAGTTATTATCGGATTTTGCGGTGGTATTGTGACTGCAAGTGCTTGAGCCTATTTGACTGCTAGCGCGTGTCCTTTTGAATGAGTGGGGCTTCTTTTTGGGTACTCCTGGGATATGCCATTGTGGCGGTTCCTTTCGTATGGTCCCACTTGGAGCCCAAAATGATACATTGTTGCGTACTCAGCGTACAACTTTCAGTCGATAGCATTAGTGCTTCTGAATCTACAGTGGAAGGGACGCTCCTCCTGTTGTAGAAAATTTGACTGTGGAATCTAGATTTACCCTTTCCAGTCCAGCGGAGGTCGAAATGGCTCAGTGGTAAGAGCGCGAATTTACTGACCCGAAGGTTCGTGGTTCGAACCCAACCTCTGCATCTCGACTTCCATGTAGGCTTGGGCAACCTGGCACCATCCCCAACCCTCGTGCTTCCTCCGGGTGGCGTGGCGGCTAGGCACCGAGAGGGTGCTATAACCGAACGACTATTATTATTATTATTATTATTATTATTATTATTATTCAGTGGACGCTCTTGCTGGAAAAAACGCTGGCCAGTGGCGCAACATAAGGCAATTAAATGTCTGCTCTTCTTGCTATTCGTTTGACGACTGCATAATCCTCAAAATGTAGCCATGGTTTATTACAGACTACATGCTTCGATGGCTCTGTGGTGCATGGTTGGGAATAAAATAAGAGCCGGGGGACATGCTTGCCGCCCATGATGAGGGTACTTCGAGACCTTAAATGACCATGGGGAGGATCAAATTAGCATTGACTCACCGCTTCCTCTGTCCTTTTATGTGAACAGCCTCAAATGCATCTTTATTGCACCAACTTGTGCGCACGTCCCTTTTGCGTACTGGTTATTCGTCGGCACATTTAGCGAAATTGTACACGTCTGCCTCACTGTGAACTTGATCATAACGATCCTGATGAATAGTTTTTCCATTTAGGGATAAACTCACTCGAAGTTGATGGGTATTTTTTTCAGCGAAAATTTTCTTGCTCGTGGAAGGGACGCTCCTCCTGTTGTAGAAAATTTGACTGTGGAATCTAGATTTACCCTTTCCAGTCCAGCGGAGGTCGAAATGGCTCAGTGGTAAGAGCGCGAATTTACTGACCCGAAGGTTCGTGGTTCGAACCCAACCTCTGCATCTCGACTTCCATGTAGGCTTGGGCAACCTGGCACCATCCCCAACCCTCGTGCTTCCTCCGGGTGGCGTGGCGGCTAGGCACCGAGAGGGTGCTATAACCGAACGACTATTATTATTATTATTATTATTATTATTATTATTATTCAGTGGACGCTCTTGCTGGAAAAAACGCTGGCCAGTGGCGCAACATAAGGCAATTAAATGTCTGCTCTTCTTGCTATTCGTTTGACGACTGCATAATCCTCAAAATGTAGCCATGGTTTATTACAGACTACATGCTTCGATGGCTCTGTGGTGCATGGTTGGGAATAAAATAAGAGCCGGGGGACATGCTTGCCGCCCATGATGAGGGTACTTCGAGACCTTAAATGACCATGGGGAGGATCAAATAAATTAGCATTCACCGCTTCCTCTGTCCTTTTATGTGAACAGCCTCAAATGCATCTTTATTGCACCAACTTGTGCGCACGTCCCTTTTGCGTACTGGTTATTCGTCGGCTGAATATCGATTATGGCGTTTAGAAACTCCAACTATAGTATACGACATACGCCGTGTTGCCTCGTCTTCCGATACCTGAGGGCTTTCACAAACCATCCCACCTTTATCCTCACTATTCGGTATCCCGTGCCTATACTGCGCACTGAGACTGCTTTACCTTATGTAATGTGGGTTTGTTTCGGCTACATCACGGTTTGTCCCATCGACCGTGCCAGGGTAATGTGGTTGTATGGATTTGCTGACCGTATGGCAACACTAAAACTTTTTGACTCAACGATTGTAGATTACAATTATGACAAGCAATGTGGGCGCAGTTGCAAAGTACGACGGCTGGTGTAAAATGGAATCATTTGTTTTGTCGTCCCACTGTCTCATTGTGATGCGTAAAACTCCAACGATGAAACGCATGCGCCAATCGTCTACAGATGAACAACGTCCCTTTTCCACACTGCTAAACTTCTCCGTTATTATGAGAATGGTTGCCTTGTTAGCTTTATCACAATCTATTCAACCTTAGCAAGGTAACCTCTTGAGTGGAAAAGCGATACGAGTGGGCGAAATCATGTATATTGAAAATCCTCGGAAACCGTACATGCGGTGTTAGCTGGGTGCAGAAGTCCAAGAGTAGGTATGGAGTGTCTTGTGAAAAGCAGGGTGACGAGAATGGTTTAATCGATAAGGCTACGGTAACTAAGCCCTGTGGTTACAGAATCAAAGATGTGCTTATTTTTAACAGAGGCAAGTAATTCATTTGCAAGGAGTGATTTGCATTGATCCTGACAGTCTCGGAAAGGGACGAAGAGTTTAAGAAACAACAATGGCACGCAGTGCCGTCGGTCTGTGTTCCAAAGCAACTAGGAGTGTTGAATGTTTTTGACTGATTTCAACAAAGCCAAAAAACTCGGTGCTTTAAGTTATTCATTTCGCAGCTGTATTGTGTACCGGGCAGATAAAAGTCTGGATGAAAGACAATGATCCAATAATAGCTGACTAAATTTGATGTGGACACGCGGATCTCAAGAAGGTGTGGAATTCAGCTGCCAGATAGTGGCGCAAGCCATAGCTATCGACCTCGTTCTCTGACTTTGTTATTGAATATTTGCTACCGAATATGATGGCCTTGTCTTAAAAACCACTTCGAATGCAAATAAGGTTCGAGTCATCTGTGTGGACCAACCATAAGAAGAAGAGATGCTATGAAATTCAATAAAACTTACTGAACTAGTTTCAGCCGGTAATTCATAGTCGGGAGCTGATTGCATCCGGGTTTACGCTGACCAGATTCGACACTGGAAAAGGCACCGAACTGCCCATATAATATGATTTTACTGGCCTTGTTCGCTTATTCGCTCTATATTGGTGTCTCTTCACGCTAGCAAGACGCTGTGTTTCTGGTGAGGCGAATGCAACTGGACAGGTACATCTGTTGAAGAGA